TGTCTGTCTGTCTGTCTGTCTGTCTCAGGACCTTACCTTTCTGGCTTTCCCAGAGAATACTCATCTGTCTTCCCTGTACAGTCCAGTCTATCTCTTGAAGCCCAGGTGAGTGGGCAGGGTCTCTGGAAGGCCTGCCCCCTCCAAGTGCCTGATGTTAGGAACATCCTGGTGTGGAAATGGGCCTGGCCTGGCAGGGCCCTGGGAAATAGCATGCTATCTGGACCCAGGTAGCAACCAGTCTTTCCCTTCCCATGACAGCACAGATGGACCAACCCTTTAACCCGGAGCCCTCCCTCCCCAACACCGTTCACCTCAGTGCCCACCTCAGTCTCCTCCTCCTGGGCAAGCCGCTGCTCGATGAGCTCTGTGGCTCTCTGCACTGCCTCGGGACCCTCCATGGTGCCCTCCATGACTGTTTCAGCAAGCCACAGGGCATGGGGTCTTTATAGGCCTGAGCACCCACCCCGCCCACTGGGAGCCTTTGTCATTAGCTCACAGGCTCTCCATTTGTCATGAGCTTACTAGCTCAACTCTCCACCTGCCTCCCCCACCTGTCACCTTCACCTCGGACAGCCCCAGGGAGCATGGGGAGCCACTGCCCAGGCCAGGGAACTTGCCCCTCCCCTAACTTCTGGCCTACCAGAGCCAGAAGGCACACTGCCCCAAAGGACAGCTGCAGGAAAGAGGTCCATCCAGTGTGTCCTCAGTGCTGGCAACTGGCTAAGTGTTAGCCAGGGCGAATGGGCTGCAAAGGGACCTACATGCTGCCATTAGTCTGGATGGCAGTGCCACCTGCTGGATGCCAAGAAATGTTTCAGGGGAGCCTGAAAAACCAAATACGAACCCCAGCCGACCTGTGGGCATTTGAGACCTTTCTCCAAGCAAGAGCTGGAGCCGATTCTGCCCCCTGGTGGCAGCTATGGGTCCCACAGCACACCCTAGGGAAACATGGCTACACTGAACGGCATGTCCATTAGCCATGAACAGACCCTGTCCATCTGTTTGTTTCATCTTCCTAGGGTCCTCAGCAGAACACACTGTTGTTTTAAGAGTCTCAGGAAGTCAGAGTTCAGAGCCAAGGCCATCTCATGAGTACTAGGCAATGCCAGACTGCCTTGGGCAGAATTGGCCACACTCCCTGAGAACAGAGAATACACAGGAAAGGCAGACCTGTGCTTGAGCTCCTGATCTGAGACTCCCAGCCTGGAGCTCTGTGTCATTACGACCTAGATTTAACCTGCCAGTGGACTACAAATGTTCTGCACTTCTATAACTACAAGTAACACCCCGAGATTCCCCTCTGGTGATGTGCTCCCCAGAAGAAACACAAGGAATCAGCCCTGTCTGCCTCTGGCTCACACAGTTCTGGATGCTTGCCATCCCATGCTGACACAGAATGAACACTGCATCTCCATGATCCTAAGTGGGCCCTGTGGGGTGGCTGCTGCATAGCTTATGCTGCCCCCTGTCCATGGATGCTGCCCTCCGTGGACGCTCCTTCACTATTTCATATCTGCTCCCCCTAACCCCAACGCACACAGTTAACTGTTCCAGCAACCACTGTAGGAGGCAGGCCAGGAGGCACTATCTCTACTTTAAAGAAAAGCAAAGTGTGTTGGGAGGTGAAGTGGCTTTTTTCAGGACCCACAGGGACACAGGGAGGTTGGCTGAGAACTCAGTCCACAGGAGGAGCATCAGGTTGGATGCTCTACTGTGCCCATCTGTAGCCAAACCAGCAGAAGCCCTGGACGACAGCATGCTGTGAAATGTAAAGTCATGTGCTAGGTAAGAGAGGAGCAAAGGCTTTATTGATAAAATGCAGACGTGTCTGTACACAGGGCCCTGCTGGGGCCATGGCCAGGCTCCGGACCCCACCCTGCCTGGGTGACAGTTGGGGATAGCCCTGTGCAAACCCCTGCCATAAAGCCTGGCTATCTGGCCACCTGCCTCATCTCTGCAGATTGTGCTGGGTGCAGGGAGAGGCAGAGAGGGCACCTCAAGCTCCTCAAGTCCCGGGGCCCACTGGGCTCCCTCCCCATTCAGGGGACTGGCACTGTGCCCAGGGCAGAGTCATGGTGAGGGATAAAAGGGGAGACAGCAATTGCTTCCAACCCTGAGCAGAAAACTGGAGTGAGCACAGTGGTGGCACCAGATGACAGATCTGGGTTCCAGGTCTGCAGGATGGCCCCCATGGCTCCAACCTGTGCCTTTTCTCCAGGGCTGGCAAGGCCTGTGTGTGGCAGGCAGCACTGCTCCCTGGGTACTGGGCACTGGTGGATCCAGGGCCCTGGAAGGAAGGCAAGTCCCTTCACAGCTCACAAAGAGCAAACAGCAGGGTGGCGGGAGGCGCCCCTGAAGAAGACAGCAGCACTGGAAGGCAGCGACAGGCTGAGGGTCCTGCAGCCTGCAGGGGACCTCCATGGCCTCTTTTCCCAAGAGTCAGGTGCCTTCAGTCCTGGGGTGGGGGCTGATTGATGATGACCTGGATGACGAAGTCTTTTTGAATCTTGGTTTCCTGGAGCCTTGTGCGGTCTGTAAGCAGCTTCCCAGAGAAGAACCATCTCTGCCAGGATGGCTCAATGCCCTCCTGGCTGTGCAGCTGCCTCTTGAGTTGCCCCACTGTGTCAGGCAGGCTGGCATTGAGCCTCACGTCCTTGCCTGTGGAGAGGCGCACTTTCAGTGGGAATTCGCGGCGCACACTAGGGGTGGGCTCAGGAGGCTCCAGGCTCTCCTCCTCTGTGTGCTCCAGCAGCAGGTTCACAGGTGGTGACAGGCAATAGATGGGCAGTTGGTAGCGATTACCCAGCTCGTCATAGCACTCACAAAGAGTTCCTGTGGGAAAAGCAGGGCCATCAGTGTAGTCTGGGGGACCTGATGTCACACACTGAATGCTGTGTCCCCCAAATTCCCATGTTGAGGCATATTTGGAAGGAATAAGATTACATGAGTAATCTTACTGACAATGCCTGGTTTGATAGGACCAGCTTCCTTTCCAGGAAAAGCCCGTGAGAGCCCGCCCAGTCCCCTCTCTTCCTGCATGCCTACAATGTAAAAACAGCATAAAAGCAAGAAGCATCACCAGAACTAAACAGCTGGCCCTCTGACCTTGGACTTTCCAGTCTCTTCAATTGTGAGAAACAAACTTCTACTATTTAAGGAGTTTGCCCGCCTGTGGTCCTCTGTTAGAGCAGTGTGAGCAGGCTAACTCACCCACTGCAGCTACTTCATAGTCCCTAGTCCTTCTCCACAGTCAGGACTCTCGGGCTAACTTCCTGGTCACCAGGTTCTGGCTCCCTCAGTGATGGCACACTACCTTTCATGTGTTTATTCAACATTCTGGCTGAGTACACATGCTAGGTCTTGGGCTGGGCCCAGTTTCCTTACTGGTATAATATAAGGCAGGTGGGAATCCGTTTACTCAGTCCTCAGCATCCTTGTACATGCTGGTACTGGACTAGGTGTTATTATGCACATCATGATCAATCCTTTGTGATTGCAAGGGGCTCAGGCTCTAGCCTGAGACTTGCCCTGCTCCAGGACACATGGCTAGGAAAAGTCACAAGCTGAGAAAGGAACACAGTCAAGTCCAGGTCTGTGACGGAAGGTCTTCTGTTACTTTCCCTTCACAGCTAATGAGGGTGCCAGGAACAGAAATGAGGCAGTGCAGCAGAAGGTTCCAGATCAGTGCCTCAAATGCTCCGAGGCCCTGAGTACCCCCAGCAAGCCTTTAGCTTGCAGGTTTTATTGGTGTCTTTCTGTCTTCTCACTAGGCAGAGGGGGATCCTGTCCATCCGTTCTTCCTACTCCCCCGTTCCTTCCTTTCCTCCTTCCCACAGTCTCTTGTAACCCAGGCTGGTCTTGAACTTGAACTTCAGATCCCCCTGTGTCTACCTCTCATGATCACAGGCATGTGCCACCATGCTTGGTTTTGTGTCTTGTGTTTCTTTGTTCATGCCATAGAGAGTTGTTTAAACAAACAAGACAGCCACACATATTTGCACACTCCTTCATCTCCACAAGCTTAAACAAACTTCCCACATGTGACTGGCTTTTCACCTCTGTGCTATTGAAAGCTCCACCCCCAGTCCAGGTAAGAAGAAAGCCCAAGCCCTGCCTGCTCACCATGAGGCAGGGTGATGCTGGCTCCATCCAGGATGGCCTGAGCAAGCTCATGGTCATTAGCTTCAGCAGCATAGGCGGCAGCCTTGAGGGCATCCCAGATCTCCTTGCGGCCCTCAAAGGCAGGTGCTGTGTCCCAGAACTCGTCTCGTTTGCTCCGCAGCTGCCCGTCAGTCATGGGATAGTCACTCTTCCACTTGAGTCGCTCCTTCTTCAAAGGCTCATTGCGACCTGGACAAAACAGATGCAGAGGCTCAGTGTCTTTGAAGCCACTTAAGCTGTAACTGACCCTCTCTCTGGCCCCAGCCTATCAGGGACTTCACTGTACCTGTCCCTACATACTTAGGCACTAGGACACTTTCTATATAGCAGGGAAGAGTGTGGAAACCCAAGTTGGGGATATGAAATAAAAATTTCAAGCAAGTATGTTCTTGTCCCTTGTATTTATTTATTTTTATTTTATATGTGTGCACCATGTGCATGGCTGGTGTCTAAGGAAACCAGTAGAGGAGGGTGTTAAATCTCTGGGAACTGGAGTTATGGACAGCTATGAGCTGCCACGTGGGAGCTGAAACTAAACCTGGGTCCTCTATATGAAGAGCAGGTGCTCTTAACCACTGAGCCATCGTCTCTCCAGCCCCGAGCCAAGTATGTTCTGTACAGATGAACCTCATCTTACAATGTTCTACTAAATCCATCATAAATCAAAAATATCCTGAGACAAAATGCAGTGTCTATCATCTATAGAGCACTGCAGCTTAGCAACACAGTCCAAGCTGAGCGTCAGCTGTGCATGAATGGCCGAGACAGCTGCTACCCAGCACGGGGAGGGTGTTACACTGTACATTGCTAGCAGAGGAAAAGATCAAAACCTAAGAGCTGAGGTGTGGTTTCTACTGATTGTCTCTCACTTCTGCACCTTCTAAAGTCAAAAGATCTTGGGCTGATGAGATGGTCCAGTGAGTAAAGACACTTGCTGCCAAGCCTAGAACCTAAGTTTGTTCCTTGGATCCCACAAAGTTGAAGGAGAGAACCAACTCCTACAAACTGTCCTCTGATTTCCATGGTGTGTGTGTGTGTGTGTGTGTGTCTCACACACACAAAATAAAATTTTCTGTCTGGGTGGTGGTGGTGCACGCCTTTAATCGCAGCACTTGGGAGGCAGAGGCAGGTGGATTTCTGAGTTCGAGGCTAGTCTGGTCTACAGAGTGAGTTCCAGGACAGCCAGGACTACACAGAGAAACCTTGTCTTGAAAAACCTAAAAAAATTTTTTCTAAATTTTTTTATGTGTATGAGTGTTTTAGCTGCATGTGCACACCATGTGTGTGCCTGGTGCCCTCAGAGGTCAGAAGGAGGTATTTGAGTCTCTGGGACTGGACTTACAAATAGTTGTGAGCCATCACAAAATTGCTAGGAACTGAACCAGGGTCTTCTGTAAGAACAGCAACCACACTTAACCACTAAGCCATCTCTCTAGTCTTGACAATGTAATTTTTTTTTTTTTTTTTTTTTTTGCTTTTTCGAGACAGGGTTTCTCTGGGTAGCCCTGGCTGTCCTGGAACTCACTCTGTAGACCAGGCTGGCCTCGAACTCAGAAATCCGCCTGCCTCTGCCTCCCAAGTGCTGGGATTAAAGGCATGCGCCACCACCGCCCAGCTGACAATGTAATTTTTTAAGGACAAAAAAAATTAAAGTGAGAGAAAGAAAATGAAAAAAGGAAGGAAGGAAGAAAAAGAAAGACAATGAAAAGATCTTAAGTTAGGAACCGTTTGCACAACTTTTGCTGTTGTTAAGGGTTTATTGTTTTGTTTTATGAAATATATCAAGGCTGACCTGGAATTTACAATCTTCCTGACTCAGCTTTCTTGGGTTTGAGATTATAAGCATGGAGCACTGCCTCCAGCTTGTTATTGGACACTTTTATCTTGCTCTTGGATTATAAAGTAAATATTTAGCATAAAAGAAATCTGGAAACAGTACAGATACATTAAGAAGAACAAAATAAGACCAGGTGGGTTAACAAGGAAGGCCCAGCAGTATCCCAGTGGCCAGGATGACCTTTGTGGACAAGCATGCTTGAGGCTGCAGTTAGGGTCTTCCCACTGTATCAGAAACTGTGGTGCCAGTGAACTTTCCCAGTCGTCAGACGTGTGCACTAATGACAGGTCTACATCCTCCAAGTACTCCACTTCATTACAGAACATTAGAATTGTGGTTATGGCCCATCTTTTACGTTTTTCAAGAGGATCACGGGAATAATTACCTTACTAGGAAGATCCAGCCCCCATGATTTGAGAGTAAAAAGGGGTCCATGAATATGCTTCCTACCTTATAAATAGCCAAAGCAACACTACCTTATAAATAGCCAAAGCAAACAAACTAGAACCTTATAGGCTGCCACTGGCCCCGTTGCTTTTTGAAATAAACATCAAAACATGGAGAAAGCCAGTAAAAGCCATTTACTGCCAAGTATGCCAGGACACAGGTAAGTCCTTAGACTCAATGGCCCACCTGCCCATCCTCTCTCTCTCTTTCTTTCCTTCCTTAAAAAAAATTAGCTTTCTGCATGCTAGGCAAGCACCCTGCCATGGAGCTACAGCTCAAAACAACCTAACAGTCTGTCTATTGTCAAAAGCCAAACAGGCATTAAGTCCATGACTTTCTGACTTCAAGTCCAGCCTCTGACCACTGCACTATGCTGCCACTGGGAAATAAATTACTTAGAATTCAAAAGGAATGACAGGTCAAGCAGTAGTGGTGCACACCTTTACTTCCAGCAGAGGTAGGCAGATTTCTGAGTTTGAGGCCAGCATGATCTACAGAGTGAGTTCCAGGGCAATCTGGACTGCACAGAGAAACCCTGTCATGAAAAACCAAAAAAGGGAAAAAAAAAACAAACCAAAACCACAGACAGACAGACAGACAGACACACAGGCTGAAAGAAATAAAGGAAGGAAGGAGCAAGCGAGCAATATTCTCCTGTACTCTGCACTCGGGTCATGATATTAAATTCATTTTTTTACAATTCTTTTCCCAGACAAGAGTTAAGATATTTTCATGTCAATACACAATTTTAATTTTCCTTTTACTTCATATTTATATTAAAGTCAACTTTCCATGTGACTAAAAAAATTTGAAGCTGTAGAGCTGGCTCAGCAGTTAAGAAACACTGGCTGTCCTACTAGGACTCTTGTTTGCTTCCCAGCTCCCACATACTGGAACACAGCTGTCTATAACTCCAGATCTAGGGACCTGAAGTCCTACTCTGGCCTCCACAGGTACCAGGCATGCATGTGGTACACAGACTTACATGCAGGCAAAACACTCATACACATAAAATTACTAACATCTTATTACTCTACCATGTAGATATAATGAACTTTTTCTTTTCTTTTTTTTCAGTGTCTGTACATAAAAATAATTGTTATATTTCTGAGGTGTATTCATGATCTAATAATTTAAAAAATATATAAACAACCAATATCTTCAGCATCTGAAGAAAATTATTTGTTAAGTATCATTTCTTCTTGGTACCCAGGTCCAGATGATCTACCAGACAATTCCAGCCAAAGGTCAAGACTGGTGGCAGAGGCTTCTGTCAGGGACCTGGAGGCTCAGCCATCTCAAAGCTGGGGGCTGATAACTCACGGGAGCTAGGTGAAGCATTAAAGTTCACCTTGACTACAAAGCAAGTCCAAGGCTATACTCTGCAATAGGTCATGCTAGCAGCCAGGGCTGAGGCTGCACTGCTGTGCGCCCACTGGGGGGCTGGGAGTGCAGCTACTCAGAACAAGAGCATGCTACTCACTGAACACCACTGATGTCTTTTCAATTATGTACACTATCCCATCCCAGCCTTGTGGCCTGGGGCAGTAGGTACCAGGATGCAATTTCACAGAAGACAGGGCAGATGCAGGGAGATTAAATGGCTTCCTTGAGGGAAGAATGAGGGGTTTTACTAAATCCTGTGCCCTGTACTCCAAAATATACAGTTCCTTGTGAGTGGAAACACAGATTATCTTTGGAAGAAAACAACTTCAAACCAGCAGAGGTCAGGTGTAGTGGTACACACCTTTAATCCCAGCACTTGGGAGGAAGAAGCAGACAGATCTCTGTGAGTTGGGAGGCCAGCCTTATCTACATAGTGAGTTCCAGGATAGCCAGGACTACATGATAAGACCCTGTCTTGCCTACAACTCCAGTACTCAAAAGATGGAGGCAGGAGGATCACAAGTTTGAGGTTGGCATGATTGCACAGTAAGTTTTATGCCAATCTAGGTTACTCAGAGAAACCTTGTCTCAAAAAAACAAAAAGAAACAAAAACCCACCAACAATGAATGTCGTAAGATGCAATCAGTACAGTAAGTAGTGTGAGTGAGAGCAGAGAGCGGCAGAAGACCCAGGCTTACCAGTGCTTTCAGACTGGGAATTATAACGAGTTATCAATTAGCAGAGTTAAGAAATAAGAGTCTTTAAAAGACGAGCCCGGGACTGGAAAAGGGAGGGGGGCTGCAATATAAACTGATTGGGATATAAAATGAATGAATGAATGAATGAATGAATGAATGGAGAGAGAGGGATATGAGCCAGGAATACAGTGGGATAGCCTGCACTGCCATTATAAATACCCAGTGCTATGGTCACCATGAATGGACAGAGACCAACAGGACAGAAGAGAGTCCAGAAATGAACCCAGGTGCACACACTACCTCGCTTCCAGCAAGAAAGAACACTGCTGGTAGGGACAGGGGTAGAAGGTGAGCTATCTGGTAATCATGTTGTGGTTACAGGTTTATCACATAGAATAACCCCTACACTTCCTACAAACCACAAAAATCAAAGCAAGATCAACGGAAAGAGGCGCTGGGAAATAGCAACACACTTTGGAAAGAGATTCTGGGATGGACTTTGAAGATGGTTTGTCTTGAACAAGGGCCCAGCTCTCCTTCTGATTCCTACGCCCTCTGCCTCGTCTCTGTTTCTTTGGGTCTTTGGAGGACATGCCTCCCTGACTGGAGCTGTGATCTGGCAGGAGTCATGGCTAGTAGTAGCCCTTGGGACCCTGACCGTGAGCTTCTGGCCCCCCGCTCAGTGTTCACTGGCTTCATGAACCTTTCTGTAATCTTCTTGCCTCCTTTGTTGCTAGATGTATCTCTCTCTGGTCTTTCTGGCTGGCTGCTGCTCCGAGTTTGGGCAGTGGTAGGGTTTGGTGCATGGCAACTCCCGACC